GGAGAATATTTGCCTTTATATCAACGCTACGTGTAGTCCAACGGAATCAGAATGTCGAAAAAAGAGCGGAAAACAACATAGTGACGAACAGAAAACATAATGCAGCCGTTTAATTACGTGCACACAGTTTGTAGCAGTCGCTTGTATACACTCTATGCGCCAAGCAGTTACAGGATATAAACGCCAGCTCCCATTGGCTCGAGGTGAATTCTCCGTAAATTATCCCGTGGCGCTCTCACATCAGCTCACTGGGATTTGCTGCGGGAAAAAATACTCGGGGTCTGTCAGGAGAAACTCAGGATGAAGGCGGAATGAAAAAATGGGGCTGTTTGCGTTCACACATACAGCTCCTCTTGGATATATCAGGAGGTTTCTATCGATAATCAAGTTGTTCTGTTTCTTTGATTAATGCTCTTGGATGAAGCGGTGTGATTTTTGAGGTTCTTCCCTCCAGTGGTTTCAATCCGTCCCTTGTGAGGCTCAGTTTGATGATCAATTTTTATATTCACTTCTTCGACAGTATTTATTACAAATAATGTATTTAACAACATTTATCATAGACAACATGCACACAGAGCTTTCAGCACATCATCTGATCTAATCTCTAATTCGTGACAGAATCATAGACTCATTTGAGATCTCATCCCATGCTGCACTTTTGACTGCTGACTGTGGGTGTCAGCTGCAGTGACTTCTTGTTCTCTTGGGGAGACGCTCAAACTTTGGTACCTACAGTCAAATGAGATCCCTATTAGGAGGCTTGTTAGGAAGCCTCATTAGGGTGCAAGGAGTTTGGAGACTCCTTGTTCCACTTTGGAGAATCAGCAAACTTTCCTCACGATGCTTCACTTTTACATACTTAACTGTAACCGTTCAATCGGAGCGAACGATATTGCCATGTGCTGACTCAAAACACGAGTTAGGCCCCTGATATGAAGAAATGAGGACAAACTTGGAAACTTGCATACCGTTGCCAAGTCAAGCGGCGTCTGCCCCTCCTGGTTTTTCATTGTAGGATCGGCGCCATGGGCCAATAGCAGAGCACAGAGCTGTGTCCGCCCCTTCTGTGCTGCTTCGTGCAGGGGTGTAAACGCCCACTTGTCTGTGGCATTAACGCACGTGTTGTACTTGATCAACAGGGCGGCTATGTCCACGTGCTAGACGGAAGAGAGAGAATGAGAGGTGAGAAAAAGGAAGGCGGTGAGGATGACGACAAAACAGAAAATGAAAGAGAAGGGATGTACAGTGCAGAGGAGAGGAGAGAGAGAAGAGGAGATGATAAGAACAGCAAAATAAAAATACAAAGGCATTTAAAACGATCAAATGTGCCAAGTCTAGGGAGTGAATGCTATCATAAAAATTTTGATCACAGAAAATGTGATGTGTGAAAATTTTCTGGAACAAGACTTTTGTGTAAATTATTAACTACATCATGATTTGTTTTGTTTTTCCCACCAGTCCTTTATTGCCTCCTTTCACTGTTTCTTTTCTTCATCATCTGTCTCCAGCTCCTGTCATTGCATCAAACACAGTGTCGCTTGTTTCGGAGCATCCGGTTGGGAGAAGCTTAAATGTGTGTATGTGTGTGTTTCTGAAACGCAGAGCTCATCAAGATTTCATTCAGACATGTGTTTCATGGCTCCATAGGTAGCAGGCTGCAGGAAGTCAAAACGAGACTGAGAGAAAACCACTCACTCCAGAAGAAGAAAACGTCCGGCTGTATGTTCTTCATCAGAGAATCTAAGATTAAAACGTTGTGATGATAATAATAGTATTTTAAATGTGGATAAAAGGTGGGAATAAGGAACAGTGTTCTGCCCTCAAGCAGTGACAGGAAATGAAACATCTGCAGGTGTGGCAGATTTTCAGTCCCTGTCAGCACTAAGAAGACATCAAATCCTGACCCTGCCGTGTCAATTCTACACGTTATACTGACTCAAGCTTCATTAAGAATTCATAAATGTCACTTAACAGTTCAGAGAACTTCTTGACCCTCACTGGAGATAGAATAAACTAAAGCACATTAAATGTTTCCAATTGCTTTCTGTTTGAATTCTTGTTTCTAAATGGTCAAAAGAATTGTGAGAAATGTACACCACGGGTTCTAAGCAGGAGTGGCATCTTTATATATATTTTATAGTTATAACAGATCTTAGGAAAGAATAAGAAAAGGCATCTCTGAAATGCACTTGTGATCTAAACTCTGTGACGTCTGGACTCTGAATGAAGCCTTTGTGTGTGTGCGTGTGTGTGTGTGTGTGCGTGTGTCTGTCTGTGTGTGTGTCTCACCCCGTATGAAGCAGCGTTGTGTAAAGGTATCAGCCCTCCTTTGTCCTGTGCGTTCACATCGGCTCCATGTTCCAACAGATACTCTGCTACCTCCAGGTTGTTATAGCCGGCTACAGAGGCGCAGAGTTGTTGTGGTTGAATGAAGACACGGGAGGATGTCGAGGAAAGACAAAGTGAATGATGGATTCATAGAAGAAAAGAGAGGAGACATTGTAGTCAGGTAACATGACAGGGAGGTAATAAAGCGAGAAAGAAAGAGACACGTCGGCCTACACCAGCGGCAGTATGACAGCGTATAATCATCTTTTCCCGTTTACAAACAAGTACATCAAGGCAGAGCGAGTGTGGGTGCGTGCCTAAGTGGTCTGATGTATAAGAGAATTTTTTTTTTCTTCAAAGTGTTTGAGTACTTTCTTAACTTTAAAAGTGTCACTCATACTGCAACATATTTGAGAATTAAGATGCACTTGATCAAAAAGTCTGGCATGACATTCTCTTTGAATCAAGAGACTTGAATAGAAACAGACTGAGGCTAGTCACGCAGCGGGGACATTAAATGCTACATGGGCTTCAGCTTGTATAATGTTTATGCAGAGTATCCATCAGTATTTAACTGATTCCACTCAGACACATTCCTGCCGCTGATGAATCAGCAGGAGCAATTTAAGGTTCATTGTCTTGCCAGAGGCCACCCTGACATGTGACTGCAGGAGCTGGGGGTGAAGTCCTTCGATGATCCGCTCGTGATACGACCGACTCTACCACTGTGCCATAGCCGGCCCCGCATTAACCTTCAGCTCTGACACCCTTTGTTAAAATTCAAAATCCCAAACCCTTTAACTTAGGCTTAATAAAACAATGAGCCAAGTGATACCCACATGGTCATTTAGTCAGAACATGTGCCCATGAGTTTATGAGAATGATGACAAGAACGAAATTAACAACAAAAGGATGATGGAGAAAAAAAAAAGAAGAAAACACTTTCCTGTTAAATGTATTTTTAAGTTAGTGTTTAAAACATGTTTTCAATGTTTGTGTTTGTTTGTGTGGGGTGTATATGTGTGTGTGAAGTGTGTGTGGGGTGTGCGTGGGGTGTGCATGTGTGTGTGTTTGTGTTAGTGTGGGTGGCTGTGTGTTGGAGTGTGTGTGTGTGTGTGTGTGTCTGTAAACTGTAAAGTGCTGTAGCAGAACAGTAAATATCGTGTTATCTCTGTAGCTGATGTTATCATGATTACAGATCCGGTATAAATAGATGAGTTTGTGTTTGTGCACCTGCAGTATCTCTTAAAAAGTTTTAAACCGTTTGGGTGAGAGCCAAGGTCATTGCAGTACACTGTAGCTCTAAGCTTGAGCATGTAGTCAATGATACAATAAGTGTTAAATTAGCATACCATTGACATATAAATATTGCTTTGTTGCAGCTTGAGTTCTTTCTGAAAGCATAATGCATGAACAATTCTTCTTCTTGTTTTTTTTGTTACTGTTTCTCTGTGATGTTTATATATTTTTTGTATTCGTAACGTTTTTTTAAACTACATACAAATAAAAGTTTTGCTTATTACAAACTACTTTCATGTAACACTGTGTTATTTGAATAATCACCTACACAACAACATCAACTGTAATCAGTCATTGACGCACGTCTTACTGTCTCATATCAACTATTACAAAATGACAATTCTCTGTGACAAAGGGGCTCATATTCTACCCTGAAAGATATTTTCAGTGCAAACAAAGTTCTCAAAAATCATTTAATAAATTGCTAATATGCCCTCCTCTCTGTGTAAGGGTGTTCTTGCTCTCAAGACATGAGCTGTCAGGATGTGTTCTTATCTTGTGCTTGGCTCTGCACTTAGCTACAATCCCAGGAGAGGGGCTGTTTCTGTGATGTTACAGACAGAGTGATCAGTTAGCAGCAAATAAACCATTTTCTAAGTAGCTTAAATTGCTGCAAACAGAACCTAATAACCATCCAGCCTTATCCTCAATGGTTTTTGTGCATGTAAAGGGAGCTTATTAAAGCATCCTTTGAACATGTGTCTTTGTCCACAACCTTGTGTTTGTAGTTTCCAAACGCATTTTACCTGCAAGGTGCAGAGGTGTTGAGTTGCGTCCCTGTGTATCCCGGCAGTTAATGTTGTCAGGGCTACATAACTTCTGCACCCTTGCCAGGCAGCCTTTCTTTGCAGCGTCAAGAAGTGCTGCGTCTCCTCTCAGAAGGTCCTGAATGTCAGTGTCCCCATCCTTCACAAGGTCTAGAGGCGTGTTCCCGTCTCGGTTCTTCTTGGTGGGGTCTGCTCCATGCTGCAGGGAGAACGCCAAATTGGAAGAGGTTAGTGTCGAGGAAAGAAGGTTGGGGACGGATGAAAGACAAGTTGAATAAATGATCATCCTCCATTTATCCATATAGGTTTACATTTGTAAGAAGAAAAATAAATGTTTTCAAACAAACCACACAATTATTAACACTCAATTTAGAGACTGGAATGTTGGAATTGAAATAAAAAAAAATCTATCACAGCCTTAAGTCTAAAAAGCCGTCATTGTTTAAACCCCAGTGGAAACGTTTCACTCAGATGAGGAACCGACGATGACAAGTGACGAGTGAGAAGTGGATGAAGGTAATTCACCAGAGAGAAGAGGAGAGGGGGAGCTGAAAAGGAGGTGGAGAGGTGAGGACAGGACATCCAGTGAAGTGGAAAACACCATAAACCCAGGGGATGAGAGGGGTAGGGGGTGGGGGGGGGAGCAGACATTTTCATTGCTCAACTGTCTCTGAGGTACCGCCATAACTTGTCATTTCATTGTAAGTTCTGAAATCCTCTCATTAAAATTGGATGTTGTGCGACCACTCCCCCGGGTATCCACTGCTGGCCTGAAACTGTCCGTTATACCTCTCTCATGGCTGTATTTCCATTTTCTAAGTTCTTTTTGAACCTCTCCATGTTAGGATTGTCTGCCCTACTTCTCTATTTCTATTATCTCTCTGCTGCTGATCGAATCATATTCTAATGTTAATTTATTCTCTATCCAGGAAGTTCGAATAGAGACCCAGTTAAGTTATGATTGGGGACATTTACATTGAAATACATGTAGGTTTTGTTACTCTTCCATTGGTTATAGCCTAAAGTCTTTCCATTTATAGCAGTGAGTAATTTTAGAATATGATTTCTTTCTCTAATGACAAAATGTTTGACTCATTGGAAGAAAATACTTTTATTTTTTCATTTCTTTAGGTACAAGATCTGAAGGTCCCTTTATGGTATCAGCTCTGTGAGGCTGTTCGGTGGCACATTTTTACTTTGATAAGTGCAAACATAAAAAGGCTAACATTCTCAAAATGACAAAAAAGCATGTACAATGTGAGCCATATTCGCTGTCTTCGTTTAGTACTTTGCCAAGCTGAGGCTGGTTTAGTAATTTAATTGGACACATTTAAAGAAGTTTAAACTACTTAGGGCATACAGGAAAAGTTGTGGATGAGGAAAGGCATTAGGATTCATCATCTGGGCACATTGGACGCCTGTATTAAACGAATAGGCAATAAACAATCATCATAGAACAATTACTGTTTTTTTTATTGTGCAGACTACAGAGGGACAGATACAATGTGCTAACAAACAAAAGAAAGCTGTAATTTCATGAACGGTAATTCCAAACAGGAAGATGTTGCACTGCAGGAGGATAACACATCCTGCCAACATCAGGAGTCATGTGAGTTCATACATTCTGTGCCAAGCTCTCACATGTTAAGATTCTTCTATAATTGAGAATAAATTCATTATGTTCTTGCACTTCTTTTCCGACAAAGAAAATGCTAATACGCGTTTTGTACTTCCCATAAGATAACACAACGCTGCAAGCAAACGCAGCAGAGTTTTAATTCTGAGCCCAAATCCAACACAAAAACAGGGACAATAGAAAGTTAACAACACACAGAGCAGACAAAGGAGAACCTAATCCTGAACTCTGGAATAGTTTATTCAAAAAGAGGGAACGGTTAGATCCTGAGGCCATGGCAGATTAACACCAAAGTGCGGGAACACTCTGTTGCTTGTGCGTATGTGTGAGTCGAAAGGGGAAATGAGGGCATCGCCATGTGTAGACACAAAAATCACAAACACAGGCTTAACATTCACCAAAATTCAACATGTTTGAGATTTTCCAACTAGAGAGTGAAAAATGCCAAAACCTCCCCACCTACTCGAACAATTGATCATCTGCCTGCGCGTCTAACCTCTACCTCAGACCTCAAATCAGTGAAAGTGCGCCCTGAGGCAGCCGCCATATCTCTGAACTACGAGGCTGTTTCTGAGAGCACTTACTGGGATTTTTGTGCACATGATGTTATGCCCGGTTCACAAACCTATGATAAGAAATATGTTTCAACGGTGGCTACATACAATACGTAATAATAAAACCAAGGCCATGGGTACAGCCTCTAACGTCTGTCCTGACCTGCTGAATTTAACAGCCAACACAATAAAAAAAAATCAATTGCTTTTCACGCTCTGAAAGGAAACAAATAAGTCCATCAATGAGGGTTACTTCAGACAAAGATGAACAATCACTTACGATAAACTCCTACTGACATGAGCCTTATGTTGGATGAAAACAAGCAAAGCTGCTGAGGCAGATGGTGTTCATGGACATGTGCTGACCAATGACAGGACAAGAGGACTTCATAAGCACTGCACTTCCTACCTGCCTCAAGTTAACGACTACAGATGGGAGTTTTGTGAAAGGGTCAAGCCTCAACAACAAGAACCCAGAAGAGCTGTCAAAGTCTCCGGAATGATCATCTGCGTTAGCCCAGCGGACACATCACTTCATCTATACTGATATTGAACAAAGCCTGGTATGAAGCTGAAATTACACAACTGCAGTTCAGTCACTGTAATGCTGCAAGTCATTAGAATTTTCACAACTGATTCATTGAACTTTGCTCATTCAAATTCTACAAACTTAGAAGGAAATCTTCTAATGTCTTGAATTTTTGCTAATAGAAATCTTAAACCCCAAATATGTAATAATAGTAACATTTCTATTTAAATGCTGTGTAAAGTTGACATCAGTTACAAGAAAGCAGAAAAAAAACGCTTAACTAAATGTGTTTCCATCTATAATCGATATATGTGTATAAGGAGATGGGCAGATCAAAATAAAAGGTTGATATAAAGTTAAATGATTATTCAAGAAAAGGACACAATGGGCCTCATTCACCAATGTCTTCTTAAGAACTTCCATAAGATTTATATCTTCGGTTGTTCTAAGGAAGATTTCTAAGAAGACTCTCTGACAGATTCATCAACGTGTTCTTGAATGACTGAATTGTTAGCAGCTGCATTCCTATCGCCCTGTGTTCAGAAGTTGTGCCTGTTGTTCCCAATTAGCACAGGTAACAGGGCCCTGCAGACACACACACTCGCATGCTGGTCGCAAAAATGAAGGTTGTGGAGATGCCGGACGGTGTGCTGAAAACGGCATTGGCCGAGCACCGGACCAACAGAGAAGAAACATCAGCCGTTCTGAATTGGAGGTACTGCTGCAGGAGGTCAGCAGCAGACAAGCGGTTTTATTCAACAGAGTGAGTAATGGTTACACAGGGACACACAAAAAGACACATGGGATGCAATAAACATAATGTATGTGAATTAAATTGTCATGTGTCTGTTATTTATTTTTAAAGACGACTCGGATTTTTATGATCCAAAAAAATATTTATTAGACATTTTATTAATGATGAAGGAAAATATTGTATTGTAACCCTTTAATAATACACAACTGTAAATTTAAATTAAAGGCAAAAACCTGTCATTTTGCCTGAGCAAACATAATGAAAACATGGTATTGCTGATGGCTTTTTCTGAACACGTCTGGTATTTCCTTCTGTTGCTGTTTTTGTCATAGTTTTTTTTTTTCGAGTCTTAGTCCATTACAGGTTGTTGCATCTTGCTGTTAATGATACTTTTCCACCTCAGCTAGGCATGCTAAATCAGCCAAGTCAATTAAGTGCTTTAGTTTCTGTCTGGACTCTCTTTAATGTGCAAATTGAAATAGCAAAGAAACACAGACAGTACTTGTGTACAAAATACAAAGTAAGAAGGAAAAACAGTTTTTTCCCCCACTGAGCTGTCACCTTCGTTAACACCGCTCTCCTACTGCACGGCCTGCTCAACCACAACTGTCATCCAAGCAGCTCCACAGAACCATACAGCACATCCATACATGCCCGGAGCATCCTCACCACACTTTTACTTTGATACCACCAGCACTGCTCAAATGCACTCAGCTTCAAAGTTGTAAGTTTGCTGGTGCGAACTGTTGCGTGCAGCACTTTCTCTTCACTACTTTGTCAGCCCCTGACCTTATCCTGTTGCACAACCTCACTGCACATTCTGCTTTGCTGCATATGCTGTTTATTGCAATATTTAATGGACCATGAGAAATAACGTTTGCGTCTCTCATTGTTAATACAAACAAAATAATGTTGTTATTGTAAAATCACGCTGCTGTAATTATTCAAAATGTTATTATCTGGGTTTTTATTTCCCTGGTGCATCTTACACCGACTGCTCAAAAACGATGTGAGCACCGTACAGTTACAGAGAAGACATTCTGAATATTAAATCTTTTAAGTAGTACAGGTTTCCTGCAAGTTTTGTCTGTGCTTGGCTTGGTGTATATTTTTGTGCATACTGTGGATTCAACAGTCTTGATCTAATAATAATTTTTGCATCCCCATATGGTGCCAGCAGAGCGGTGAACTGACTTGTCTGGAGGTGTAATGAAACGAAAAACAACAATTCAGCTGTGAAACTGCAACATTTCACGGGACTCGTTTTGCCTCCTCTTGACGTGACAATCAGTGAGAAAGCACATCGACTGACTTGGCTAATCTCCCAGGGATCATGACAAGTCATACCTTTAGTGATAGATTTGCTTCTGACTCCCAGTTGCAGGATTGCGATGGATGCTACAGCAGAGAAGATTTGGACTGTAGAAATGTACAGACTGAGTAACACTGGCTCTATTTGTCATTTCTTGCATTAGCAACAGATCATATTGCAACGCGATTTAATAACCTGATTTAATTTGACAAATAATTCCTTTCTTTCTAAAGACTGTCTTCCATATAAGAGTAGAAGAAACAGCATGTTAATGGTTGCAAATGCTGTTTGTTGATGATTTATGAAGAATCAAAGAGGCAACAGAGAAAACATGTGATACCATGAGGAAAGTTGTTCACTGAGGTTTGGAAACTATTACTGGAGTAGGAGAAATTATTCTGTATGACAACTTATCACTGGACAGTGTGGCCTCCTCTTCTTCAAACTAACTTTGATTTGTGTTGATAAGAAAGGATTTTATTCCTTGAAGACTTGCCATGTGCAGCTCTAAATATGCAGCACTAGTCTGATTTTCATAGAAATGTCTACCACACGAGTTGTTTGCTTAATCATGAATCTATATGCATTGGTGGTAGTGAAGTTTGCTAGGTATAAGATGAGGAATATGCAGGTCTAACCTTGAGCAGCAGTTTGCAGATCTCATATTTGCCCTTAGCAGCAGCTTCATGGAGCGGCGTGAACTTCCACAAGTCTGCCACGTTGACTGAGGCTCCGTGTCTGACCAGCAGCTCTGCCACCTCGTAGTGACCGTACGAACAGGCATTGTGGAGCGGGACCAGACCACTGGAAAGGAGGAGGAGGAGGAGGAGGAGAAGGAAACAAAATGAAGCATAATCTGTCTGTGAATGACTACTTTTATGTTTTCCACAAACAAGGCGACAGCATAAATGTCACACCCTTTGTCCTTGGCGTGCACATCTGCCCCGTGGTGCAGCAGGTACTCCACCACGGACACTCGATTGTAGCCAGCAGCAAAGTGAAGAGGAGTGGAGTGTCGTCCTTCCAGATCTCGACAATTCACATTCTGAGCAGTACACAGCGACTGGAGAGAGAGAGAGAGACAAAAAGGGAAGATTAAAATATCTGTTTCACAGTTAAAGAGCTGAACTACTAGAGGGCCAGGAAGAATATATCTCCGCTTTTGGCTGCAAGAACCAATCACATAGAAATTTTAATCCAGATTTAATTTCAATATTGTTTCCATTACAGGCTTTAAAAAGTTTGGATTTGAAAATGAGGTCATTTTCAAAATGTTTTTCATCAAGCATAATATGGTCAAGACAATTATTTTAATTTTAGTGTTAAAGGCATTTACTACTGTAGAAATATGATGAGTCTGATGAAATATTCAAGATAATAAAAATAACTTTACTGTTCAGAAAAACTGGACAAATCATTTTCTCTTGATAATAAATGTATTTTCATATATTTACAACTGTGTCTCTTTTTAGCAGAACCATTGTAGTTTAGAGAGGTTGACAACATTTTTTAAACAACATTTTAGTGTCTCTTTTTTTACTATTTGAGCAGCTTATAATGTTGCTTATTTATTAAGCAGAATTACACAAGGGACAGTCTGTTGAATTTAGTTTCATTGGTCATAACAGATCATATTTGCTCTGCTGTTATTAAGGAGAGCAAATTAACCCCAACAACTTTAATATAAAGTATCTACAAGCAGCGTATAACTGTTAAAATAAATAAGCGACAACAGAGTAATCCTTTTTTTTTATTATCCACCAATATAACTAGTCCTGCAGCTTGAGTAGAACCGTCTCAAAGCAACACATCAACATTTACCTGCACTAATTCTACTGTTTGTGTGTCTACCTGTAACTGCACACCAACTCTTTGTGTGATGCAGCCCTGATTTTTAATTAATCATGCAACCAGTGAAATAAGAGTCTGCTGCTTTGGTGCATGGTCTATACTGAGGTATCAGCTTCGTCAATCTAGACTTTAAGATTCTCTGGTGTAAATGTTAACAGTCCTCAGACTGTCTGAAGCAGAGTGATTCATAAAGTCAAAGCTCCAGCGCTCTTGTACTCCATATCGACACTCATTCAATGCCTGTCCGCTCAGAATCCTTACTCAGAACTTACATGTGTACAGCCATTAGCCAGGTTCATTGAAATAACAGAATAACTGTTTAATTGATTGTTAGACTGTCTTGTGATATTTAGACATTTATGACCCCTGACTTTTTTTCTTGCAAAACAACACGAGTCACATATGTCATTTTAAATCCAAGATCTTCATTGGTTTGGTTGGATTACTGTGATTTCCTGTCAACTTCAGGATGATTTATAAGAACCTGACCCCTAACATACACAATGAGGTCAGTGACTGAAAATGTCCCTTACTACTTCATGACCAGATACTTCAAAAAATAAAAACATCAGTTAAGCTGTACTACTACTACTACTGAAACCACTACTACCATTACCAACACCACTACTACCACTACTACCATTACCAACACTACTAATACTGAAACCACTACTACCATTACCAACACTACTACTACTACTACTGAAACCACTACTACCATTACCAACACTACTACTACTACTACTGAAACCACTACTACCATTACCAACACTACTAATACTGAAACCACTACTACCATTACCAACACCACTACTACCACTACTACCATTACCAACACTACTAATACTGAAACCACTACTACCATTACCAACACTACTACTACTACTACTGAAACCACTACTACCATTACCAACACTACTAATACTGAAACCACTACTACCATTACCAACACTACTACTACTACTACTACCATTACCAACACTACTAATACTGAAACCACTACTACCAATACCACTACTATTACTACTACTGAAACCACTACTACCATTACCAACACTACTACTACTACTACTGAAACCACTACTACCATTACCAACACTACTAATACTGAAACCACTACTACCATTACCAACACTACTACTACTACTACTGAAACCACTACTACCATTACCAACACTACTACTACTGAAACCACTACTACCATTACCAACACCACTACTACCACTACTACCATTACCAACACTACTAATACTGAAACCACTACTACCAATACCACTACTACTACTACTACTGAAACCACTACTACCATTACCAACACTACTACTACTGAAACCACTACTACCATTACCAACACCACTACTACCACTACTACCATTACCAACACTACTACTACTGAAACCACTACTACCAATACCACTACTACTACGACTACTGAAACCACTACTACCATTACCAACACTACTACTACTGAAACCACTACTACCATTACCAACACTACTACTACCATTACCAACACTACTAATACTGAGACCACTACTACCATTACCAACACCACTACTACCATTACCAACACTACTAATACTGAGACCACTACTACCATTACCAACACCACTACTACTACTGAAACCACTACTACCATTACCAACACCACTACTACCATTACCAACACTACTAATACTGAGACCACTACTACCATTACCAACACCACTACTACTACTGAAACCACTACTACCAATACCAACACTACTACTAGTACTACTGAAACCACTACTACCATTACCAACACTACTACTACTACTACTGAAACCACTACTACCATTACCAACACTACTACTACTGAAACCACTACTACCAATACCAACACTACTACTAGTACTACTGAAACCACTACTACCATTACCAACACCACTACTACTACTACTGAAACCACTACTACCATTACCATTACCAACACCACTACTACCACTACTACCATTACCAACACTACTAATACTGAAACCACTACTACCATTACCAACACCACTACTACTACTGAAACCACTACTACCAATACCAACACTACTACTAGTACTACTGAAACCACTACTACCATTACCAACACTACTACTACTACTACTGAAACCACTACTACCATTACCAACACTACTACTACTGAAACCACTACTACCAATACCAACACTACTACTAGTACTACTGAAACCACTACTACCATTACCAACACTACTACTACTACTACTGAAACCACTACTACCATTACCAACACTACTACTACTGAAACCACTACTACCAATACCAACACTACTACTACTACTGAAACCACTACTACCATTACCAACACCACCACTACTACCACTACTACCATTACCAACACTACTACTACTGAAACCACTACTACCAATACCACTACTACTACTACTACTGAAACCACTACTACCATTACCAACACCACCACTACTACCACTACTACCATTACCAACACTACTACTACTACTGAAACCACTACTACCATTACCAACACTACTACTACTGAAACCACTACTACCATTACCAACACTACTACTACTGAAACCACTACTACCAATACCACTACTACTACTACTACTGAAACCACTACTACCAATACCACTACTACTACTACTACTGAAACCACTACTACCATTACCAACACCACTACTACTACTGAAACCACTACTACCATTACCAACACTACTACTACTACTGAAACCACTACTACCATTACCAACACCACTACTACTACTGAAACCACTACTACCATTACCAACACTACTACTACTACTGAAACCACTACTACCATTACCAACACCACTACTACCACTGAAACCACTACTACCATTACCAACACTACTACTACTACTGAAACCACTACTACCATTACCAACACCACTACTACCACTGAAACCACTACTACCAATACCAACACCACTACTACTACTGAAGTTAGCATGCTAACACAATACAGATGATAGCAAACAGGAAACTTTCCATTATTCAAAAGTATTTGTCCTTGTGAGCATGATGACATCAGCATTTAGATACTCTGTGATATTGCACACCTTCACAGAAATACTACCAAGCTGCTGCCGTTGTCGTTTGTTGTATCAAAGTAAGACTGTACATTGTGGCCTGTGTTTGACAACATATAAATACACTCTCCCAAAGGCTAGCAAAATATCCTGAAGAGAGATCTTGTGAAGATATGATGAATCACCCTGATACGTATCGCCTAGACTCAAAAGATTTCATCACCTTTTTTCTTTCATTCCCTAAAAAACGCTGCCAACAGCCAAACCAACATCAAACGAGATAAACAGTAGTTCTGAGGAGAGCAAGAAAGAGAAACAAAAACAGAAAAAAAAAAGAGTTACACTGTTCCTCTGCCCACCCAGGCGGATTTATGATGAAAAATATGTCGGTGAAATGAAATATGTGGAAAAGATGGTTTTAGAGGAGCAACAGCAACAACATTGAAGTTATTAACTGAAGCTGAGAAAATAAATGCATGTCTACTGAACTGAGACAGACACCGGCCTGCCTGCTGTTCTCAGATAATAACTGATTTTCTCTTATTTCAGAAACAGTTACACCTTAGAACAGAACAAAGACAAGACACGAGGGGGGGGGGTTACTTTAAAGTTTACTTTTTATCGCCCCTGTGGATGTTATTCTACAGGAAGCACAATGACACATCCTGCTGGCAGGCTTATTCCTCCATTTTAGGCCATTATCCCTCACTTCAACTGAGGCTGAGGCAGTTGCTTTTGAAAGATGTGCTTCCAGGAAAAACAATAAAATGTTCACCCTTACCAGCCAAGCAGAACTTCAATCCTTCATACAATGAGAAGGATGAGATTAGTTTTGATTGAAGCTGATGGCAACAATTACACAAGTGAAATTAGTTTTTTTTTTTTTTTTTTTCAAAAGCCAAGAACTATGGTGTGTGGAGACTTTCTGATGTGGTCTACATGACATGGTGTCATCTATTTATTATCTCTGACGGTACTAGAGCCCCTGACAGTTGTGACCACCATAATCTATATGAATATAGTCAGATAATTGGGCTGTAACTAATAAAAACTAATACATTTATCACTTTTTTCAGTATATATTTCAAATGTGTGTGTACACTGGCTCCAGCTGTATCATTTCACTTTCACATTATTAATGTATAACTGTACGGAGTAAAAAATCTAGAGCTGCATCTTTAAGTTGATCCATTTATTTATTTATAGCAAATTCATCCTTATGAAATATTTACCAACTGAAAGGACTATTTATCATTATTTGATCATTCTAGTCAGTGTAATGAGAAATGAGAATTAAAGGCATTGTCATACAATGTTCCTCTTTGGTTTTGCCCCGTTGGACAGAAAATAGACATACAGGGATATCACCTTGGGATGTTGGCACTTTCAAACTGGATAACTGACCTTTTAGCCAATAACAATGCAAATAAGCCATATTGTGAGCTCCAGTCCATTGTTAGTTGAATGCAGCGGTAGCTTGAAAAAATTAAAACTTGCCAGTTATTATTCAAACATCCAACAGTGGTAATTTGGAGTTATATTTCTGGCCACAGGATTAATTAAGGTTGAATATCTACTCTGTTAAAGCTCAGCTTATGGACCCCGCCGAACATCAGGTTCCTCGCCTGATAACTGCTTCTCTATTTTTCACAACAGTAGTCCATTGTGGTGTGTGTCTGTTGTTTGGTGGTAATCAGAGTGTTTACAGAAGGTTTCAAAGCTTTTTCTCTGGAAAAAAGAAAATCCCTGCTGTGGCTGAAAACAGAAAAATTGCAGCAACAGATTGATACAAGCTATAAAGGTTAGAGTCTGAGCAGAGCAGCAGATTTAAGTGGATTTTCTATCACTACCAGGAAGTTCTTTAAAGTTGAACTTTGAAACATTTAACATGTAATTACAGTATTTATGGGTTGTAAAGACATTCCCATACTGATTTATTTTAAGTGTTAACCTGTTCATAGCATGTAGCGTTACAATAAAACATAGCTGTAACTTCTGTTTGTGGGGTAACAAATCACAAATAATGAATGAAGTGGAAAACATCCCCAAAGGATAAAATCTGTCACACTATGAACCAAAAATCTTTGGTAGCCTCCATTGGTGTCATTTGAACAGATGGCAGGGACGGCGCAAGTGTTGTTTTTCCCAAAGCGTCAATCACTAGCTCAGCCAGACTGTTAACCTCAGTCCCTGAATGTGAGTGTGTATGTGTGTGTGTATTTGTGTGTGTATTTCAGGTAACAAGAGTCTGACAGAAAGCCAGACCAGAGCTCATCGTCTGCTGCTCTGCAACAAACCCTTGCCAACCTGCCAAAGCATCACACTTCAGACACTGACAGACCCTCTTTATCTGGATAACCCCATCACTGTCTGTCTCTGCGGGTAAAGACACAGATTTTCACTCAACACAAAATACTTCTGTCAAATGCTTTAGCGAACCTTGCCAGGTCCTGACATTTGGTGGGTGGTTTTATCCGAGGCCTATTACTGTGCATCACGAGCGCCTACAGTTTTAACATGAGTGGGCCCAGTGCAAATCAAACTGCTAACAGTGGCAGCACAGTGAGCTGCACATGATGGTTGTGATTATACTGAGGGCCAATGGGAAAAAGAAAAGCTCAGTTTGCAGTTTCACTGGTGTCTGTGTGAACAACAATAGAAAGACTTGAACAGAGGAATGATTGATTCGCTACAGATATCTACTTGCATCACACTAAAATCACTACATGCTGGAATCCAGAACAGCAACAAGCCCAGTCACAAAGCTCAGAACATTTTGCTGTATTATCATTTATAAAGTAACTGTAATGTAGGACAAGATTTTCCTTTCTGTTGTGAATCACTGCTTCATCTTGATCAGGGTTTTAAAAATGTATAGATACAAAAACATATCCTTCATAGCCACTTAGTACAAGCGGTGTCTGTTTAACCTCTTGAAAGTCAGTTGTGGTTATTTTAGGGTCTATATTTCTGGTAAGGATTCATATCAAACCTTAATGAGGCAATTCAAAACGATTTCTCTTCCGTCTGTTCAAATTTTTTCCCACGATTGGTGTCTAAGGCCACCTTCTTTTTTTCACAACCTTTTTTTTTTATTTCAGATGAATGAATATTGATTGTTTGGAGGGGAGGACATTGTTTCTCTTCTACCGTTGACACTGACCTACCAAGGCTACATTTGTACATGTGAGCTGGCAAAAAGAAAGCAAATTAAACAGTTTCAATTGTTACACCCTGCAACACCTTTGAAAATAAAGCTTTCAGAATATATGACATCGTTGGACTAGAAAACTAATCTGCACATGGAGGGACAACATTTACTGTATAACTAAGGCTTCATTGTTTACACATAGAGTGTATCAGGACAATGACAAAGACATGCTTTGTCTTTCCATGTATGGGACTTTTTTACTTGTATTCAATTAACTTTGCAAGAATTACAAAATAAATTACAAAATCAATAATTAAACAAACCTTGACAGTGTCCAGGTCTCCAGCTTTCGCAGCTTCCAGAAGTCTGTAGTCCACATCTGAGTTTCTCACTGGGACGTTCTCTACAGAGCAGAGGGCGAACACATGAGAGATTAACAATGATTTTCACAACCATTAGCAAAAGTAACAGACAAACATGAAATCTAGTATTTTTTTTTTTTTAAGACTACAATGCTGAGATTAAAAATAAAAAATAAGAGAAGAAAAGTTTTGTTGTATATTAGGCCCATAGAGTTACCCCTTAGCTATTCTAATTAAAGGAGGAGTTTGGTGGAAATATCATCATATGCTTTGTCGCAGAGACTTGTGTATGAAGATCGATATCTTCATGCTTAATATGAAGATTAAGCCTCCTCATTGTTAGTTAACACTCGAAGAAAAAGAGGGACAGCCAAAAGGCTGGCACGTCTGGGTTGATGTCACCAATGATGATCAAAATGTCAAAAACTGTGGAGTAACAAGCCCGCTGAGAAATAAGTTGGCTCACACGGACTCAAAAGATATTTCCCTATCTGAACCTCCAGTCTGGCAGTATCAATACTGACCTTCCAAATACAATCCCAGTTAATCCAACTGTTGCTACCAAGTGCGCATAGCAACCAGAAAAAAAAAAGCCCCCACACATCTGCACACATATCCACCCACACACATCAGGGGTGGTGTACCGTTGAGGATTTGCTGAACAGCTTCGTTTCCCATTTGAGCAGCAGTGAAGCCCTGCAGCGACACCAGTGAGGCATCTGCCCCGTATCCCAGCAACAGTCTGCAGGTCTGAAGGTGGCCTGCCAGCGCCGCGCGATGCAACGCCGTCTGACCCAGCGTGTCGAGGGCGTTGACCTGCAAACACAAAAGACGGTCTGTATCATGATTCATAAAAGGAGCTTCAGTTACAATTACTACAAACTGCTTCTCTGCTTTACAGGATGTACATGAGTTACTCTCTCTGCAGACAAATAATCACATCCACAGTGCGTCTGGTTCAGGGAAGAATTACTACATCGTGCTTAAATTCAATGAGAAGGTCCTTTTTACAACGCCTTACACTTTCTTATGTTCAACCATTCAACCTCGAAACAAAAATAATCTCTCTTGTTTTTACAGATTCTACAAAAACGTTAGAATCTGGGGCTTCTGATAGCTCTGTGGTTCTATCTTGCACCCCATTTACAGATGGGAAGGAGGCCAGGGTTAGATTCTGATCCTTGGTACTTTGCCCAACTCATTCCCCATTCTCTCCACCCAGTTTCCTGTTTTGGCCACTGTCCTCTCTCTTAAATAAAGGTATAAAAATAGCCCAAAAAAGAATCTCTTAAATATTACTTTTAAAAAGTAGAATCGGTTCAGAATGGGAAGTTTTCTGTTTGTAGTATGTTTGTAGTCCAACCTGTAATGACCAATCACATATCAGTAGGCTTTGGGGTGTGTGGGATAAAGCGTCCATATGAAAAACAGATATCTACATTAAAGTGCAGCTAACAGTCAAATAAAGATCAAACATTTCAACTTTTCAACAAAACTGCTTGATGCTGGTTCACGAAAGCCAATCAGCATTTAGATTCCCTTACTACCTGAAACACAAGATCAATTCTTGAACTGAAATTCTGTAAACATTTTAAGGTTTTTGTTTTTTTCCTACTCCTTCAGGACAGACTTGACAAAGCTTGCATTTTAATTTTTTTACACATCCAAGTTTCTCATGTCATTTTTTTCAAACTTCAGTGCCTTTAATTCCAAGTTAATCACAGGAGAATCTGTTTGTTGTTTGGACTCACACACCTGAAGTAAACCAGAGTGAAGCCTCTGTGAAACTCTTCTCTGCAGTTGAACCGAAAAAATAGATGAATGGCGCTACTCGAGGGGATTTTATGGAGAAACGACGGCGTTGCAGACATAAATGCAACTTGGAAAAAGGAAATCTTGGCTGGAAGTCGTTTAATGACAATGCATGCTACACCAAAATAACCTTAAAATGTGCCTGTTTCCAGAAGCCTGTATTGTTGTGAAACAGTGACAGACGATGATTGTCGATGGGGGTTGAGATTAGCGTCACACAACATAGAAAAATGTTTAAAAAAAAAGATCTTTGGATCAAACGTTTACTTTAAATTCTTCTGACATTAAAGGCATCTTGTTGTTCTGTCGTGAGAGCAACATTAAGTCCTCTCGGATTCAATGCCGGATAAAACGACCCTGTACTCATTTTAAAAGGCTCTGCATGTGGGGATGAGATTAAAATACACCCCAACAGCAAATCAAAATGAAAAACATTGCTGATCATAATCAGATAGCAGGTGCCGATAAGAAGATAGATGTAAACAGAGATCTACAGATGATTATAACATCAACTTTTGCATACATTTAAAAAGGATTAAGGGGGAACTAATGAGATGAATAAAAAGATAGCTGGATAAAGATCAGACTGAAATAACAAGCTTAATATAGATGACACTGTGGTTTACCTTTGCACCATGTTTTTGTAGCACCTCCATGATGTCATTGTGAGCTCGTTCTGCTGCCACATGGAGAGGTGTCATGAAACTACAGAGAGGGAACAAAAAGGAGAGTAGTTAGAATGTGTTGTTTCTGCTTTACACATGTGATCATCTAGTTAATTAATCTATTTTAATTTCACATATCTAAAACAGAGAAACAGACAAAACTAAGACTATTGGCAGCTTTAGTCCAGAAAAACAGATATCTGGCTTCAATTACCTGCCTATGCTCAACCGTTAGTTAACAGTTTGTATAAAAACATAATCATGATCAGACTTTGTAGTCTTGAGCAGATGAAAACTCACTCTTTATTCTTCTCATTGACATTGGCTCCTTTTCTTAACAGCAGCTCCGTCACCTGTTTCCTCTTTGGGTGTGGTGATGCAACTGCACAATGCTAAAACACACAAACATACAGACAGACACACACACACACACACACACACACACAGAAAGAAGAACATAATTTAAGTTTCTCTGCACCAGAGTAGGAACCTATATGTGAACTAGGGATGAAATGATTCACTCAAATCACGATACGATTCACGATTTATTTTACAAAATGACACTGTAGACAAATCATGACTGAAAAAGATTCCTTGAGGGGCTACAAACCCACTTGGCCTTTTCATGTTTTTTTTTTTTTTCTCTCAACAAGGGGAGGTGATTGGAGCTTCTCATTGTGCTGTCGATTAAATGCTGCATCATGTTGGTTCTGTTATTTGTGTCGTTCCCTGTCTTCTTACAATATTTGCACACAGTTTTCACCGCTTTCATTTTCTGTCTTGGGGAAGCCAAAATGCTTCCACACCTCTGATTTAAGACAATGGTGCGTCCTCAATTTCAAAATCTTGCTCTGCAGCTGCCAACCGACTCTGCTCTATAGCTGCTGACGCTCACCATATTATTGCGATTTATTTTTCAGAGTGTGAATCTTGACACCTTTGAATCGATTTATCACAATTTTATGATTAACTTTACATCCCTAATGTGAACAGATAAGTGTGTGTGTGTGTGTGTGTGTGTGTGTGTGTGTGTGTGGTTTTTTTCTTACCAGTGCAGTCTCGTGTGTGTGAGGGTGTTTGAAGTTAATGATCTCCAGAGCGAGGGTCTTCTTAGCCTTGGCCATGTCGGCCTCGCGAGCAGCTTGGAGCAGTGAGTGTCCCTTAAACTCATCTGAACACAAACAGAATTGAAACGTGTCAGGAAAAAAGAAAACAGCCTTAGTGTCAGTTTTGTGGAACATTTTTGCAGTTCTTTGCAGAAATGAACCCAACAGAGCAGCAGCAGTAGCACCTGGAGCTCGTATTGAAGGAAAAGAGTGACCAAAACCAGCAGCCACAAGATCCTCACTCGACTATAACAAAATCCCATTTTCTTGGATTGACCCTGCAGCATACCATTACTTCTAAAATATAACTTCAAAGATTTTTAACAGCAAGCCGGAGCATGAGTGCTGGAGCTGAAGCGGAAACAAGTATTCACACCCCCAAGCTGACAATTTAAAAAACACTATTTTGCTTCAGAAGCATTTCAGGACCTACAAAAGGAATCAAGTCAAGTGTATCTATAGACGGAGCAACAGCATTTATGAATCTATGATCACACATTCAGACAAAAAAGCGTGAATGTTGTGTCACAGATGAGAGAAAGAGAAAATCAAGAACAGCAGTTTATTATAGTGGAGAACTGTAAGGGTTTTCCATCCTTGTATACCACAGTGCCCTCAAACTGTTAGCTTCTAAAAGGTTGTTAAATTAGTGTCTCTTTTTAGAGCACTCATCATTTTTAATGGCCTCCGTCTGGACACGCATTGTGAGCACATCTAGCGGAGTGATGTTTCTTCTTCTTATTGTTTCATTTAAATGATTCTTTAAGGCATGAAGAGGAAAAACAAGCCAGTGTTGTTTTTAAATGTCAGAAGTTAAAAACATAACTAGAAAAAAAAAAAGGACCTGTAACAAATGTTACATCTTTGCAATTACTTTGTACAAGGTGATACATTGATTTCCTTCCTGCAGCTATTTTCATAAGGAGGGAGTATGAAAGTTGACCTTTAAATGCCCTGAAACACGCTCAACACTGGGTATCCATTCAGGTGAACATTTCATCTGACTTATTGGTTTCTCTTGTTGCATTAAATGTAAGTTTAGCATCCCAGTTTTGTCAGCCGCAGAACAGCAACCATGATAACTTACATTACCATTGTTTTTTTTATCATTTATGTATTTCATCAGCTTTCTTATCAATTCCATGACTCATATACAAGCCATGGGGAATAAGCCATTTCCCTTTCTAGCTGAGAATAAAAGATGGTCATGTCAGCTTGGGAATCGACTGTATCAGGGGGGAAAGCTGGCTCGGTTAAATCCATGTTGATGAAGGAAAGGAGAGCAAATAAGTGGGTTTTTTTTTTACACAAACTGTCAAGCTCTTTCTTTAAACAATAGCTGCCATAATTACTTATTTAACAGGAGTCACTCAAACACTATGTTCTCTTCTCTTGGTTTTCTGGACAAGCTGAACTTTTTAAAGATTGTTTTTCTATTGTAAACAGAAAGACGTGTATTCAACATTAAACAGAAAAGGAGGCTTAACGTCAGGGAAACAAAGGTTCAATAAAACATATCCAAAGTGTTTTCCTAAATCTGTACTGGTCAGATAACAATTCTTCCTAGAAAAGAAAAAAGCTGGTACACCGATCTGTACCCACTTCAAACAGACACTTTGTTTGAAGTGGGTACAGATCGGTGTACCAGCTTTTTTCTTTCATAGAGACATACAGTTCATACACTAAAGCAGTGATACTCAACCTGTGGCTCTCGGGCGCCATGTGGCTCTCTAGTTGTGGTTCTTTTAAGACCTACTGTAGCCCTCTTAAAAAACAAATCCCCCAAAATTTATTGAAAAAGGGAAACATTGAATTTTTTTGAAAAATAATGCAAGTCACATTACTGCGGCCCATGTAAACACCTCCTACCCGAAGTATAATTGCTGACCTTTTATAAATCTGTATATTGCAGCTCTCGCATACCCGAAAGATAGACAGACTAATCTGTCGGTATGTCCCTCCTCTAAATGCAACGATTGAGATGTGATGTCTCTTGTTAAAACTGTAGTTTCTCCCATGCTGTCCCTGCACTCATGGTTTATGATTACTGTTGTGATACATGTCATCATCAACCAGCCTACACACACGCAGCTGGTGTTATAATGGAATACTGTGTGCATTTCAAAACGCAGATAATCTTATTTGATGTCTTTAGCGCACTGCTAACGAATATTGTCAAAAAGCAGTGGGACGAGTGAGTGAATGAGTGAGTGAGTAGATAATAGAATGAAGAGGTATTATAAATCTTCTCAATTGCTTTTAGAACGAAAGGGACACTTTTGGATTGTTGAACTTGTAAAAAATATTATTTTTTTGTCAATATAGCTCGAGTCCAACAAGGTTGAGTAACACGACACCAAAGTCTTCGATCGGCTGAAGCAGATTCCTTTGCTCGACTAGAAGCCCGATCTCCAAACTAGTTTTTTTCTACACACACCCAAATATGACCACACAACAAACTAGAATGTAGAATATTCTCGTCTTTTAAAAAAGACAATCATCAGATTTTATGTTTGTGTTCCTGAAAAAAGGTCTAGACACAAAGTCATAAAAACAAAGTTATTAAAGCAAACAACTTACAGGAGAAGTTGTCTGACAGTTAAAAAAACTTGAGATGCCCTATGACTCATATTGCATTTGATTATAGTTTCTATAGTCTTCTTGTAAAGGAACAGCAAGTGCAGCACAAGAGCGCTGTCTCAACAATGAACTCTCAAAGAGCTGTGGAGAGCTTTCTGACAGAGACAAAGACGAGTCTGTCTTAGCTTAAGATGTTAAGAAAATGATGCTGAGCAAAGGAATTCAACTCTCCTGCACTGACTGTTCAATTTTCAATTATACCTTTGTGAAATACTCCATTTACATTTCCAAGTTTATTTTATAAACGATCAACAATGTCTTAAGAGGAGAGAAATGTATTTAGTGAATCCTCACATCATGAAATGAAAGTGCAATGCTATAATAAAGGTGCAGCTGTATGAAGGCAATGACGGCAGCTTAAAATGGGGCAAGCTTTCAGTCATATTGAATGTGAATGGATGTGTGTATGTTGTAGAATACCAATTGGGTTCTGATAGATTTCTATATGGTACATATCTCAACCTGTGAATCAAGTGCATCAAAGGGGAAGCTCTTGTTTTTTTTTCTGGTCTGGATCACTGACTTTATTTCTACTTTGTCATTTATAGTATTTATAGAACATTCATTTGTTCTGAAAACAAGTTTTTTTTAGCTGAAGCATGACTACAGGCTCTGCTGGGCTTGAACATAAATTATATTGACTACTGACATTTCTTCTTTTTCAGGCTCTTTGATGCAAAGTACCCAAATAGGAAATTCAAATGAAATTCAAATGAAATGAAATGGTAAGTGCAATGTTCTTCTGTGGTTTAAATAAACATGAAGAATACTGCTAAATATGAGCACCAAACACACTTGAGTTTGTCGTCTGCTCGGTTTATCAGGCATTAGGAAGCTTTTTCTTTCACACATTAGCATCTCTAGAAAAGAACTGTTCCCCAATCAATAAACTAAATTTCATATTTTTCAACTGTACTAATGCAAAAAAAATAATTTGAATCGACTTCTCCAAACGGATTGTTGTATAGACACAATCTCTAAAAGTAATGAATTCATTCATTCAGCATCTTGACACATTTAGCAGTGCTGTATACACTGCAGCTGCAGTCGATGTAAATAAAGCCCCACACTCACATGTAAGTCTCTCCTTCAGCTCCGGAGTGGGCGCCATGTCCACAGAGCTCTTGCTGTGGCAGTTGAGCAGGGTGGGGTCGGCACCGTGGCTCAGCAGCAGAGAACAGACCTCCACTCTGTTTTTAGATGCCGCTTCATGGAGAGGGGTGAACTGCCAAAGATCCATGGCATTAACACACGCTCCGTGCTGGAGAGACAGAGGACAGAGGTGAGGGAATCAGAGGAAAGTGAATATATGTAGGAACAGTTTACTAGAGTTTCATTTGTATCATTCTAAAGAGAATTTGACGGTTCTTGAAGCTTTGATTACTTGATTTACATGTGAGTAATTTCCACTTCCTCATTGTGTGCTTAGCTAACATATGTGGGTATATGTGGGTACCTTTAGTAGAAGCTCAGTAACTTCATAGTGTCCATAGGAGCAGGCATTGTGTAAAGGCACCAAACCACTGGAAGAGCAAAACACAAGACAGTAAATATATGTTTTTACGACTCAAAAACATTTAAGTTAAACACCCCTCACCCCATCTTCTTACAGTACAAATACGAACAAGATCATCAGCGACTTCACTCACTATCTCTTTATTTCAATGCGTGCGACTACTGCCACTGGGTAGGTGTCACACCAGTACACTAAAGAAGTAAAGTTTTCACAATGAGAGATACATATGACTGTTAAAAAAAACAGTGAGATTTTTTGGTCAGAAAACACTACCAACAAATTTACAGGTCAGCACAGAGATAAGACCCAACCCTCACAAGGGTCTCACATGAGCTTTAATCCAGAGTGTAAGCAGCATGCTAACATTTACAAGCTAAAAACAAAGTGCGGGGGATGTTGATTAGAATTAGATTAGAATTTCACGGGAACTTTAATATGATGGCGAACGCAGCTTAAGAGTTATGGGGATCCCGACAGATAAAAATTCATCAGAAGGTTGGAAGCTGAGACTAAATTTGATCATAATTCATCAACTACTAGGCTCTGTATCAGTAACAACATACGGTGGCACAGTAGGATCACTAAGGTAATTCCAAGAGCAGTGAATATCTTTTCAAAAATGATATCAAAAATCCATCCGTCAGCTGTCGAGATATTTCATGCGACTGAGGAATTAAAATTGCCATCCGAGCCGTACCATTGGCAGCAAAAGAAAAACTCAATACGCCGTGCTCCTAGATTTGGCTGCCTTAACTGAATGAGCCAAGTTATATTTTCCAACTACATTCATTTTAAATCCACAGCTGGAAAGAGTAAACTGAGCTCAACTTGCCAGCTCTTTAAACTCCAAAACCTGTGATGAAAATGATTAATTTTTATCTTAGTGCATGACCACCATTCACCCCAAATTCATTCAGATTCTCTTTTTTTTTTGGATGAATAAGCCTGATAAATCTGACAACACTACTGGAACTGTATCTATTTTTGAAATCAGTAGAAAGCTAATGGAAAGCACGGCAGTCATTGATTTACTCCCACTGAAGTTTTTTTTAGATCTTCTACTTTAAAAAAAAAAAGTCAAAATCCATATTCACTATTTCCTCCACCAATCCCTGTCTTCTTTGAAACTTTTTTATTTTACATTGATTTACTTGTACGTACCCCTTGTCCTTGGCATGAACATCTGCTCCATGCTGTAGTAACAGCTGAACTATCCTCACCCTGTTGTATCCCGCTGCCAGGTGGAGTGGAGTGGACTGCAGAGAAAGGAAGGAAGAGACACAGAAAGAGTGGAAATAAGACAGAGGTGGAGGAAGAGTCAGGGAAAGCAGACACATTGTGAGAACCAGGTAAATATAGAAAGTAAATGTTAGCCCACATGTTCGTTTTACAGCCGACAGCCTGTCATTATCACCTCAGACCATCAGTTCTGTGTTCAAAGACTGCAATAAAGAAGTCTGCATTCTGGTTCACACTGAGCAGCCAGATGTACGCAGCTTTTGAAGAATGACTTTTCATAGAGAAATGGGTTTTTCCTTCCAATGACTCAGTCTAAATTGATAAAGCCTAACTATATTCCCTCCATTTAACTGATGGAAAGCTGCAGCTCTGACAGCTCTGAGATGGGACTGAGATGAGATGGCTTCAGCTGTCCGTGCAAAGTTTCCTCCATGTAAAGTAAAAGCCATTCTTCCTCAAAGCCTGAGTGACACCCAGACTGCTGGAGAAATGTTACAGCTCTGAGAATGTTCCTATTTTTCAGTCAAATTGAACTTTTTACAGGAAAAAGTAATGGCAAACCTGCCTCAGAGTCTCAATACAGAAGCCATTTTAAAAGCACTGAATGAACCAGAGATTAAATTGGGAAAAGGACTGGGATTACACGCAACACACGGTAGACACATTAAAAAGCTTCCCTCCCATAACAAATTACGATTAATGAGGATATTTGAACAGAACGCCTTTAAAAGAAAGGTTCACAACAAAGTCTGACGTGTGGGTTTTTTTTGCGCTTCAACATTCCTCTAAAGCACATTTACCAATTCATGTGGCAACAACTGTTACATTCCACTTGATTTCAGAGATTAAATGACTTGATCCCCAAGTAATTTTTTTCCCCAAAAAGGGAGGAGAGTTAGTTTCCTATTATTTTCCTGTGATCCAAAAAGGCTTTTGAGTTTATACTCCAGTTCCTTGTGTGACAAAGTCTGTCTCATTTTGCTTTTGCATCACTTGCATGATCTGCATGCTGGCCGAAGCGTCTGCACTGCAACGTGTTCTATTATTGCAGTGCGAGTGATTCTTAAGACAATCAGAATAAAGTCTAAAAGAAGAGCTCAGACGTGTTCTGACTGTGGGGTGACATCAGGCTGATGATGTCGGCGAGAGAGTTAAGTGTTGTTGTTACGACTACTCCACGGTGGCACACAATTCACCCAGGCCTTCAATCAAAAACATCAGCACCATCTGCATCTCAAACCCCAACTACAATCTCCATGCAGTGCATTGTATCAAGCTGGGCAAGAAAACAACCAAGAACATTTATTCAAAAAGATAATAAAAATGTTAACAAAGCACCTGTCTTTCAAAGTGGATCTTCTGGTTCTTTCATTTGCCCACAGAAAATGAAGCAATGTTTTCTTTTTTTTTGATGTTGGCTTCAGTGTTTTGAAAGATACTGCAGCATGGTTTCAAACACTTACATGGACACAAAACTGGAGTCCTGCTTGGAGTAAGAATAAAATTACCTTTGGTCATAACAACGGCATTTTAGGGTTGCAAGTTGCAACTTTGGATTTTCATCCAACAAAAGTGAAAATGTCGCCCCGGGTGACATTTTGCAATAAACCCAACTCCTGCTTAGTGTAGATGTCTGACCAGATTTTTCAAAAAAAAAAAAAAAAATAGATCATCTTTGGTGATCAGTGCTGCTCACTCAGGAGCTGGGCTGAGGAGCAGAGGCAGCAGCACTGAGGCAGAGACGGGGAGGACAGATGGTCTACTCGTATTAACAGGATGTGACAGCAGCATTTGCAAGGAGCAGGATATGGTACACAGTTAGTCATCATCCTCATTTTATATTCAGTGTCACAGATTGTGTGTGTGTGTGTCTGCATGAGCCTATGAACTTGTTTTTGCAAATTGTTGTGGACGGACGTTACCAGAAAACAACTTAAATGTGTAGGTTAATCAGGTCCTCGGATTTTAAACCTTTTATTCACAGTGAGTCATCAGTTAGGCCTAACTTGCACACACACACACACACACACACACACACACACACACACACACACACACACACACACACACACACACACACACACACACACACACACACACACACACACACACACACACACACACACACACACACACACACACACACACACACACACACACACACACACACACAGACACACACACACACGTGCATGTTCTGTTGCATCACCATGATGTCGTTGCCAGGGTCAGACTGGGTACTTTAAGCCCCACCTCCTCAATCTGTCAGCCCTGCGAGAGGAGCGGGTACATGCATATTTTTGTGTGTCTGTGAGATGGAGAGGGATTCAACTGCCGACCCTCAACAACATCACTGCCTCAGAAGGTCTTGTTTTTGACTTTCCGCACAGAAGCTCATTTGAATTTAAGTCACAAAAAGAGTCTCTGCGGCTGAAACCTTTATGTTGTCGCTCAGAACTTGGCGTCACTCTCAGATCTCACCACAAACTAAAAGTGCTCGTAATCCAGAGCATCACCCATTTGTATCTAAGATCTCCCTTCATCCACAGCAACCTTTTCTTTTTAGCGCGCTGAATTTATGGAACAAAGTCATATTTGTGGAAAATGGTGGAAAATAGATGGTGGAAAATAAATTCTTTGAACCATTATTTGGGAGAATATTTCTGTTTAAATAAGCTCGATATTTCTGCTGCTGCAATTGCTAGCAAGATGCAAGTGTGGCAAAAGTCAGTTTAGGCTGTTTCTATACATTTATGAACAAGACAAATAAGAGATTTGGAGCTTTTATTTAATTAGAATAATAATAGATTGATCTCTGGGCTGGTTCTACTCAGTTTTCATTCTTTACTCATTACGGCATATTAGGACATAGTCACAACATGTTTCTGCTACACATACTTTATTACTTATTAGTATTTTTAGGTTAAGTTTGCTCATTAAGAACTACAATCACATTGCACGAGAATGATATGCTGTTCTAGGTATAATCCATGTTTTGGGGATTATTTTTTTTTTAACCATGCTCTATAAATGGTAACTTTCTGTTTGTACATTTAGAACAAAAATCATGCCAAACCACGGCCATTCCCATCAGCTGTTCTTTGTGTGTAATATATACTATTTGCATGCTATTAAGCTAAGATGAAACAGTCAACATGGTGAAGATTTTGCCTGCTAAACATTAGCCTATCAGCACTTTTACTGTTGGTATGTTAGTACCTTGATGTTAGCGTTTAGCTGCAAGCACCATTGTGCTCAAAGACGGCCTCACAGAGCTGCTAGTAAACAAGGGACACATGTTTGATGTATCGTCATTTCTGATGACTGCAATCCGTGTTGCTTTCCATCCTGAAGAAAATGCAATGATTGGGAGGCTGGATTGAATGCCAATTTCCACTTTGTTTCAAATTCATCCTCCATCCCCAAAGAAGAAATATCTCTAAAAGAAATCATGTTCTTATTCTGGCAAAATGTGCTTGATGTCTTGTTTGAAGAATGTTCAACACTGGAAAAAAGGGGTTGTAAATTTTGCACATTAACGTGTCAATCGGGTACAGAGGGTTAAAAATCCTGGGGCCATTTTATCCGACTACTGACACTGAAGACACAGTTTGACAATTAGAAGAATACGATTATTTGTTTTCCTGTGCAGAGTACGTTGAAAACAAAAACACCAAATGACAGGAGACAGTTGGCTTAAGTAAGCATAAATAATGATAGCAGAGAGGAGCAGCTGACCTGCTTCTGCTAACCACTTGTATTTAACACGTTATATGATGTTTGTCTAAATTGTTCAGATTACATCTAATATATAACCTGTTGGGTAAAATGGTTCTCTAGCGTTGGAAGGAGCCAAGTTAGCTTCCCCTCCTGCTTCTAGTCTCAATGCTTCACTAAGCTAAGCTTCTTCTGGCTCTGGCTACACATTAGGCTTACAGATGAAAGTATATCAATCTTTTTATGTAACACTTGGAGAGCAAGGAAGCGAGCATACTTACCAAGATTTCCAACTGTTCTGTTTGGTTGTTTTTTCTTATTATGAGTTTTTGTGAGTATGCATTAAGCGAAAACAGCTACCGTCTATCAACATTTAAGACACACATTTCTTTTTTTTAAAGTTAAGTGTTTGACGAGTTAAACCTAATAATAAGTCAGATGTAGGTAGCTTCTTGGCTTTTGGTTCCTTCGACTGTTGGTTCTCCCATCCATAGAGTTCTCTGAGAGCTGATGAAATATATTGGCCAAAAGTGAAAAACCTAGCAGAGCGTATTTCACAAAGATGCAATCAACACTCACACTGGCAGACTGAAAGTGAACAATAGCAAACGAAAAAAAAAAAAAAAAAAAACACTCTGTTGTATTTTAATCACCTAAAAGCCTTTCTGGGAGGATGGAGGGGAAGAGAGGGAGGGAAGGAGGGAATGTAGGAAGATAAATAAGAAAGCAGGAAGCATAGAGCGATGCAGAGGACATGTTCTAGCAAAATGGAAAATAGTAATCTGTCTTTCTGACTTCCCTTGGATGCTTTTATCTGTTTTTTTTATGCATCCCCTTTCCTCTTCAAAGAAAATGAACGCATCTGAATGGAAGCTGCAACGTGTTGCAAAATACTCCCTCCAAATGAGAAAGTTCCTTCAATTTGGCTTCTTCTTTTTTTTCATAAAAATACAAGCATCCTGAACACAGCATGGATAGAGTCAGACTGTGAGAAACATCAAACCCACATTTGGAATATTCACAACAATCAAAACATGCGGGGTGAGCAATCTGCTGCTGTGTTAAGTTTCTTTCTTTTCTTATGGCTTTCCGTTTTTCTTTAACCTCTCTTACATCCCCTCTCTCTATGACCATGTCTTCCTGTTCTTTCCCCCAGCCTGTCAAGCTGTTCCCATGACAACGGTGACTGCTAGCTGTCAGCAGTTGCCATAGCGATGAGACATGATCTATGTGCAAGGGTGAACCGCCACATTTGGACCATTTTGTTTGGTGTCTTTTGCATGAGTGACTGCGTGAGGCT